GCCTCAGTTTTCACTTGGAGAAAACGGGCATCATGGTTTCAACTCATGGGCGTGTAGTGAGGATTAAATGAGAAACTGTCTATAGTGTGCCCAGCCCGTTTCCTTATCTCTAAAGCAGGCATAACAGTAGGGTCTGACGGGATTCAATTAGATAATTAATGAAGTGTGATTGACACCTGTAAATATTAACCATTAATACTATTAACCCCTCCCCTGTTTTGCTGGAGGTCGCAACCTGATAGTTCCCTGCTCTTGCTGCTTCCTCACCCTGTTCCGTTGCCAGGACATGACTTTTCTCATCTTTTTAGACAGAAGACTCGCAGAAAGAAGAATGATCCCCAGAGCCCTGGTGGGTGTGATGTGGCTCAGTTCATTAGAGTATTGTCCCTCCACACCGGAAGGTCTCAGGTTTGATTCCCAGTCAGGGCACATGCCTAGGTTTCGGGTTCAATCCCAGGTAGGGGTGTGTACGGGAGGCAACCTATTGATGTATCTCTCTACATTGCTGTTTCTCTTCCCCCCACCACCTCTCTAAAAATCAATTGAAAAGAAAAAAAATGATACCCAGAAAAGAGCTCATGAGGCAAGGAGGAGATCCTGAGGTCCCTCTCCCTCCTGAGACCTGCCTCTCCTTCCCTCCGCAGCACTCAAACCCAGGGCTTTCCTACTGGCATCTCTCCCGGGCAAGGCTCTGGCCCAAGGGTTCATTTAGTGACTTGTATAATTTCCAAAGGATCAGTATTAATCTTCTCCACCTACAGGATGAGTGGCAGCTCGAAGCCAAGTGCTTCCCAGCCAGGGAAAGAAATGGAAGTTTCCCTTTTTCCTGTGTCTCTCTCCCCCACCCTCCCTTTTGCGGGGGAGCTGAATGTGCTCACTCTGGAGGGACCGAGGGAAGCCCAGACGGACTCTAATGCAATTTTGCCTCCATGAAGCTGGCAGCTGGGAACCACTTTCCCTCGGCTTGCCCTCTGCTGGGGAAACTCCATGACAGAGACGAGGCAGCTGGCAGGGGGAGGCCTTCTGAGTTTGAGGACGCTACTGCTGCTGCTGCTGCTGCTGCTGCTGCAGTGCCAAGCCGGCCCACACAGGACCCCACAGGACTGCGCTGCCACGGAGACTGAGGCTGATGCCCATTTGGTTCCTAGAGCTCCTAGAAGGCGATGCCTTGGGACCTGGGGGAGGATTTCTTTTTCAGGGACACGGTAGCAAATACAAAGGAAGACAGGATTTATTAGAAAGCTTGTGGATTGGGAATCTGAAGACCTGGGCTCTAGCCCTCAAGCCGCCACTCCATGGCCATGTGATTTGGGGTCAGGTTGCTTAAGATCTTTGCCTAAATTTTAGTTTCCCCATTGGTAAAATGATCAATGTTTCTCTCTCATCGATGTTTCCCCATTGAATTAATGTATGGGCCCTAGCTGGTTTGGCTCAGTGGATAGAGCAACGGCCTGTGGACTCAAAGGTCCCAGGTTCAATTCTGGTCAATGGCATGTACCTTGGTTGTAGGGAGTGTGCAGGAGGCAGCTGATCAATGTTTCTCTCTCATCGATGTTTCTAACGCTCTATCCCTCTCCCTTCCTCTCTGTAAAAAATCAATAAAATATATTTTAAAAAAAGAAATAATGGATGGGAAACTGGAACAAGTGAGATGGTTAATAAATACCCATTTATTCCACAGAGAGGCTCTGGAGAAGGGAAATCACTGGATTACAGAGGTTTTATGGGTTATCAACTTCTATAGAAGCAAGCACCAGCATTAGGCTGTTTGTTGGGTGCCTGGTTTTAGTGAAGATGTGTGTTTACCATTCACCATGAGACCCTGAGAGACTCCCTAAATATCCTGGTTTCTCTGGGTGGCTAAGGATCAACCCACAGGGCAGAAGGAGCCTGTTCCTCAGAGATCCAGTCAGCATCTCCGTTAAGCCCTTTCCTGCCCTCCATGAACCAGACCATCTTTTGTGCCACCAGCACTGTATCCCCATTCTGGGAGAGGCCAGAATGACACAGCTACTTGTCTCCTCGTGATCTACAGTGGAGGGAAGGAGCTATGTCTCTGCTGGAATTGAAAACATCCTTGAGGGCTGCAACTTATACAAGGAAGGTTACCATGCCAACCACAGCCTCCTTGTCCAACAAGGACGAAAGAAAACAAGGCCGTGGGTGATATACATCTATTGTGTGTGTCCACAAATTTGCCTGGAACCTCTTAGGAGCTGCTAACTGCAGTTCAGCAGGATGGAGAGGCAGGAAGATTCGGGTTGGATTTAAGTGGACTCCAGGGCGGGCAGAACTGATGAGGGCAGGGGCAGGGCCAACACGGGAGGATTGGGAAATGCTTTTCTGAGATTGATACCCATCTCCTGTTGAAATGTGTGGGTGTGGTACTGCAGCAGGCGTGGGAGGGTATGGTGTCCTAGATACCAGGTTCTGACTGTGATGGGAACTTCAACTTCCTCCAGGTTCCTTTTGCCCTTAGCAGACATTCCAGGTCACCTAAGCTCTGAGGTAGGTAGAGAAGAGAAGCAGGGAGGGCGGGCAGGTCATAGGGATGGAGAAAGGGGAGCATCAGGGCCAACACCTGCCTCTGGTTCAGGCACCAGATCTTGGCAATTAGGTCCCATAGATGCCACAGAAGGGACAGTCTTCCCCAAGGGACAGGTCTCCAGGGAGAATGGTCAATCGAGTCCTCAAGCCTTTCATGTCTCCTTCTTCCCACACCCACTTGGGAAAGTGCACAGAGAACTGAGGAACTGCCATTCCTTAAGCACCTTCTCCAGGTCAGGCGCTTTCACACATTTGATTTGGTTACCACAACAACCCTGCAAACCAGGAACGATTACCCCCATTTTACTGATCAGGAAAGTGAGATTCGGAGACGGAAGTGCCTTTCTCAGCATCAACCACTGGTAAGGGAGAAGCTGGGACTGGAGCTCCCTCTGTCTAAACGCCGCAGTCTGGAAGGGAAAACTCTAGATTTGACGGTTGCCCTATTTTCTTCTGGGAATCTCTCTTCTGAATCCGTCAGCTCCCCTAGAAGCCCTGCCTTCAGCTGGGAAGAGGTAGAAGGGCACACACAGCAGGTGACAGGGAACACGGCCCCCACCCCGCTTGTGATGGTGAGGACGGCGGAGATGTCCCTGCGGGCCCTGCCCGCTGCAGGAGACGCCTAAAGGGCATCCTCTCATTTCATCCCCATCCGCCTCGGACGAGGAATCCGAGGCTCCGAGACCAAAGCGCTTCACCCGGGGTCACGGAGCAGGTGCGCGCGGAGCTGGGAATCCCGCTCGTCTC